GGGCTTATGACACTGGAACCTCCTTAAGTTGCGTCTCGCCACAGCTGTCTGTAAGCACTGAGCCGGCTGGCGCCATCCTGCTCCTTTCAGAAAGAATGCCTTCCCTGTAAAAAAAAAAAAAAAAAAAAAAAAAAAAAAAAAAAAAAAGGAAAGAAAAAAAAGAGAGAGAGGGAGAAAAAAAATAGGGAAAAAAAAATAGGGCGAGCGAGCGAGCACAATCTGATCTGATCAAGCACTTTCAGCTTCATCCCTCCTGGGTCACATACTGCTTCTCCACCAAGGTTTGTGCGGAATTTCTTTAGCAACTTGTCGCTTTTTTTTTTCCCCCTCCTTCTCCCCCCGCTTGTCCCCTCGCTCCTTCCCTTCACCCCCACGCTTTTCTCCATCGTTTTACCCTCCTCTCCTCGATTCCCTCCTTCTTTTTCCCCCCTCTTCCCCCCTCTCTGGGTTGCATAATAATTAATGAGCAATCAAAGGGACTCTCGGCTGCAGAGCAGCGAATGGCACAAGTTCTCACTGGCTTAAGCCGCTGGAGCTTCTCAGGTGCGAATAGAGCAAATAAACAAATAAACAAAGGACCGAGACGACCCAAAAAAAAAAAAAAAAAAGCAAGAGTAAGAGCTGCTCGGCTGCGCTGCGAGCCGGGAGAGGAGAGAGCGAAAGAGAAAGAAGCGCTGGGGAGAGGTGGGTCCAGGGCAGAGCAGGCGCTTCCCAGGGATGGGATGGGTTTTCTCCTGCCTAAAAAGTCAGGTGCTAAAGTTCAGAACTTCTCAAGCACGTTTCTCTCTCTGCCTCTCTCTCTCTCTGCTCCTTCCCTTTCCTCTTTCTCGTTACAGGTGATCAAAGAAGAGAAACATCTGCAAAAGAGCGGAAGATACCGAAGGGATCTCACTTCGTAGAGATTTTTTTTTTCTCTGAGTTTGCTTATTTTCCCTTCCCCCCTCTTTTTATTATATTCTTTTTTTTCCTTTCTTTTTTTTTTTTTTTTGGAATCGATCGTTTATCACCATAATCCCCCTCCCTCCACTTTAAACCAAACCTAACCAGAAACATCCCCAAACTCGCCGAGCACTTTCCCTTCCCTCTGCATAACCTCAGCACCGTCTCCCCCTCCTATCTCAAGCCCTCCGCGCCTTGCTGAGGAGGAGGAGGAGGAGGAAGAAGAGCAGCGGCGGAGCATCGAGCGCGGAAGATGGAGGTCTCCACGGACCAGCCGCGGTGGGTGAGCCACCACCACCCGGCCGTGCTCAATGGGCAGCACCCGGACTCGCACCACCCCACGCTTGGCCATACCTACATGGACCCCACGCAGTATCCTCTCGCCGAGGAGGTGGATGTACTTTTTAATATCGACGGACAAGGCAACCCCGTCCCTCCGTATTACGGCAACTCCGTGAGAGCCACCGTGCAGAGATACCCCACGGCCCACCACGGTGAGTGTCCCCGGCGAGACCCCCGCTCCCACGGGGCGGCTCCGGGCCCCGCCGGCCCGGCTGCCAGCGGGGAAGCCAGGTCACGGGTGGATTTTGGGGTTGGCTTCTTGGAAATAAATAAAAATCCAGGCTTCCTTCTGTCCTTTCTTTCCCTTTATCTATTTCTTTTTTTCCCATCTTTCTTTCTCATTCCTTTCTTTCTATTTTTCTTTCTTTATACTTTTTTCGCTCTTTCACTCTCCCCTCTTATCCCTCTCCCCTCTCTTCTCTTTCCTTTCCCCCTCTCTCTCGCTTCCCTTCATCTTCCTCTTGTTTTCTTCCTTTTTCCCTCTCTCGTTCGCTTTAGTGTGTGTGTGTGTCCCGTTCCCCTTTTTAATTAGGTTAACAGTTAGGGTTTTCATACGGTGTTTAGTTTTTGCACGATTAAGCTGCTCGGGAGAAGAAAAGCAAACTGGAGAGCAGGGGTGTGAAAATGACCCTGCTGTCCTCACGCTTGGGCTATTTCATTCGCACTTGGTGAGCTTGTTAGGCTTGGGTCGAAAGTTTTACACATCCACCCAGGGCCGCACCACGACGTGTGTTAAAAATAAGAAAGGGAAAAAAATTAAAAAACCCCAAAAAATCCCATGGTGTAATTAGGTATCAGACCTGGTGTGGAAGGAACCTGCAGGAAGGTAGCCATCCACAATGTGAATTTTGTGCCTGGGTCACAGTTTTTAGAGAGGAGGTGAAATACCTGGGGCTGATGCGGCCCAGGTCTGCGGAGGGATGAGAGTTTCGGTGCCGTCTTTTTACGAAGAATCAGGCAGATCCAGTTATTTATAACCGGAGTTTACCTGTATGATTAAAAAAAATCGGGAGAAGAGAAAACTTCAAAAACGGAGGGGAAAAAAGTAGATGCTGATTTGTGAAGCCGTGGCCTCTGTAGTGGTTAAATCCAAAAACCCCGAGGTTTGCAGTGGAAATCACCCCAAAATGAAGGGGAAGAAAGCGGGACGAGCGAGGGGAAGTGGAGGCGAGCCGGGCTCAGGGGGCTGCTCCAGCCCTCAGCTACTTGTTGAGTGCGAGTCTGCATTAGGCTCCGCTCAGTAACTGCATTGTTCTGCTATTAGTCCCTTTAAAACAATTATTTCTAAGGATCAGCAGCCTTTGTCCTTTCTTTCTTTTCTTTTCATTTCTTTTTTTTTCCCCAATATATCATCAGAAAGTGGAAATGCGGTCTCTCTGATCTAGCCTGAATATTATTTACTATGTTACTTCCTGGAGAAGATAATGAATCTTGACCCTTTCTATTCGTATAACCCACCTTCCCTTCCTTTCGAGCAGTTACTTTCAGTATTGTTCACCAATGTCTGGGACGGTGAAAACCAGCTTGGAGATTTTCTAGACGCGCACAAGCTCCCATGCAAACATTCGTGTCCACACTGCCCCAGCTCTTTAACTCTCTGTGGCCCCATTGATCTGTGTTTGCATCTCTCCTCCTGTATATTTAGCCATCTCTATGCATGTATCACGATACCTACAGAGGTTAAAGGCTCTCTAGATGTCAATGCGTTTCCAGGGCTTTATTAGTAGACGGAAACTTGCGCTCTTCCAGTTGAATAACTCTGTTTTTCAGCTTATAGCGAGGTGTTCAAGTTGCTGTGGATTTGGGTAAATGTGGTCCTTTGGAAATAGATTTATGTATATATTTTAGCAAGAGCAGCGATTAATTTTAAAATGTAAAATATTAGGTACCATCCTTTAAGAGCAGTTATAACCACAGAAAACAAGATTTGACTGCTTAAATCTAGTGGTTCAGTTTTTTTTTTTTTTTTTTTTTTTTTTTTAAGTCCAGGTCTGTATTTTGAAATAAAAGTGACAATCTCTTGTCATAAGAAAAGGGCGGAGAGTTTCTTCTGAGGCACTTGCTACTCTCTGCCTGTGCCACATCGCCACGAAAAAGCCGTCTAACATTTCTGTGCAGCCTCACGGAAGAAAAAAAAAGACAAACTAGGCTGTCTGCAAAGTTTAGCAGCTCTGGTGGAAAGGTTACTATCATGGCTGTGGGGATCTTTTGGTCTTCTTCGTTTGGCCAGAATATTCCCAGGGTTTATAGCCCACGGCTGCCTTCGGAGAAAATTATTTTCCGGCTAAGAAAAAAAAAAAAAAAAGGATTTCTGCAATCGGGGCTTGGCAATTTCACGCAGGATCTGGGCTTCCAAGTCCGCGTGGGGTTGCCTGGGGAAAGGGTGAAGCAGGGCTCACCAAATTCCGTGTTCCAGGGCTGGCAGCCCTGCTCGGGGGGCCCCGACGAGCGGGGTCCCCCGGTCCTGACCAGGATCGGGGCCACCACCTCGGGCTATCGAAGCTTTTAAATTTGAATATTTACAGGGGAGTGGGGCTTTGCATCAGATGTAATAATTTTGCTTGCTCCCCCCCAGCATGCTGAGCCCTTTGGGAAGGAGGAGGAGGAGGTGTGGGGGGGTGTTCAGCCCGGCACCCCGCCGGGGGGGGCACACAGCCCCCC